TGAAGGAGAGGGAGGGAGGGAGGGAGGGAGGGAGAAAGAGGTAGGAAGAGAGAAGGAGGGAAGGAGGGAGGGCAAAGGAGAGGGAGAAAGAGAGGGAGAGAGGGAGGGAGAAGGAGAGGGAGAAAGGGAGGGAGAGAGGGAGGGATAGGGGAAGGGAGAGAGAGGGAGATAGGGACTGGTCATTGGGTGGATCTGGAATTCAGTTCTGCATCACAGCTACCTTTATAAAGTGTCTGTGGCGGTCATGTACATTGCTTGTTCCTCTTTGACCAGCAAATTCAAGCTTCATGCAGGAATTGGTAAGTTTAATTGTTTGTTAGCAGGGTTTATCTACAACTCTCCCAGTCTCCTAATATAGGCCTTCAGGAAGATTTTTTTTTCTAGAGAAGGAGGAGAGGTCTAGAGGATGGGAAAACACCTAGTGGGTTTGCCATGACAGAATAAACAAAAGAGTACTAGATCAGAATTGTGTTGTGGCAAAACACTGAGATATTGGTACTGCCATCACTGCATTCTGTCTCGCTCCACCAAAATGTATCAGTACAGTAGAACCACTGTATCTGCAGGATCAGTACCTGTGAGTCGACCAAAATGTATCAGTACAGTAGGACCACTGTATCTGCAGGATCAGTACCTGTGATTTCACTTATCTACTGCCTGAAAATATTACAGAAATACATGTGTCCAAGTTGTAATACCAGAACTGGCCTCTAGAGGGAACCAGAGACTGTGCTATATACCAGAGGTCCCCAAGCACAGAAACAAATCTCCAGCCCCCCATTGTACAGAGGCATGCATGCCCCTCCCTCGCACACACGACCCCTCCCATGTGTGCATATCCCCTCCCATGGCCCCTCCCATGCACACATAATACCAGAGGTCCCCAACCAAAGAAACAAATCTCCAGCCCCCCCTTGTATAGATGCATGCATGCCCCTCCTTCGCACGCACGGCCCCTCCCATGTGTGCATGGCCCCTCCCATGGCCCCTCCCATGCACACATAGACACACCCCACCCAAACACTAAACCGGTCCGTGGAGGCAAAAAGTTTGGGGATAACTGCTATATACAGTATGACCCCTGTATCAATGGGATCAGTATCCATGCTTTCACTTATCCATGAGCTGAAAATATTTAAAAATATTTTTTAAAAAGATCCAGAAAAAAATATTTGTAGGTGTAAGACCAAAACAGGCCACTAGAGGGTGCCAGAGAACATGCTACTCATTAGAATACAGTGGTGCCTCGCTTAACGACGATAATCCGTTCCAGGAAAATAGCCGTTAAGCGAAAACATTGTAAAACGAAATGCATTCCAATGGGGTAAAAACTCACCGTCCAGCAAAGATCGTCCATACGGTGGCCATTTTTGCTGCCTGTATAGTGAGGAATCCGTCCCTAATCGCAGCGGGGAGCTGTTTTAGCACCCGTTGGCCGTTTTGAAAACCTGACAATCAACTGTTTTGATTGTCATAATGCGAAGAATCAGTTCCCGAAGCAAAGAACGGATGTTCGCAAAGCGAAAAAACCCATTTAGACCATCGTTTTGTGATCGCAATTTCGATCGCAAAACAATCATCGTACAGCAATTTCGTCGTAATGCGGGGCAATCGTTAAGCGAGGTACCACTGTACCCGTTACTGAAGAATACATAGAATGGTCTCTGGCACCCTCTACTAGCCTGTTCTGGTAATACATGTGAACATATTATATCTTGATTTTTTTCCTTTGTGTGTGTGTGTGTGTGTGTGCGCGCGCGCATGCATGCAGACGCGCACACGTGCATGTGTGTAACTGTGGATAGTAGAGAACACTATGTGGCTTGGAATAAATTCCAGGCAGATATGGGGGTTTCTATATCCACGCTTTCTGGCATCTGTAGGGGAGGGGGGTTCATGAATACCCCCATCCTACTGTATAGGTGGAAAAAAGGCAGCCAAAATGAAGCACTTTCTGTGCCAATTGAAGCTGTGGCTTTTAACAGGTGTTGAAATAGTGATGATAAGAATATCTGGATGTTCCCCCCCTCCCAGTTATTTCAGAGCCAGCAAATCAGACCGCCATGAAATTGCTTCATCTTACGAGAGGCTGAAGCTCGCCACCAGGAAGGAGCAACTCTCCCTCCTCAACCAACACTTTGCCCTGCATCATCTTGGAGTCCGGAACAACCCCAACAGCAAAGAAAATAGTTTCCTACCTCGCTTATTGACGCCAAGAGAAGTGGGAGGCCGAAGAAGGTCACAAGACGAGTGGGAGGACCCCGCTGCCCTCTTGAACTTGCCTGGTGCAGTGATGTACATGAAGGACCACCACCTGGAGAACAGGTTCCATCTTCTTAAACACAAAGAGAAGCTCCATTCTTTATTGACAGAAAAGCAGCTACAAGAATGTAAAGCCAGAATGCAGGAGAGCTCAGATCAGACCCCACAGCGATCATCTCCCCCACTGCCGAGGACTGGCAAGGAGTGCAAAAAGGAGAGAGTCTTTTTGGAAGAGTCTCCCCATGAGATGCTGGGCAAATTGCTCTCGTTCCACAAGGAGGACCTCGAACAAGCAGAAGAGGCAGAGGCTGTGAGGGACTATTTCACTGATGCACCGCTGGACTTATCAGATTCTGGGAGAGGGAGAGGAAGCATGAAGGCCAGCAACTGCCCACCGACTTTCAGGGACTATGACGTTGGGAGTCCATGCAAAGGCCAGAAGGAAGAGTCTTTCCTACAAAAAACTTGCCTACCCAGCTGGCCCCAGAAGAAGAAGCATCTTCATGGGAGCAATGAATCAGAGCAGCAACTCAGCCCCAAGGAGACCATTGTGGTCTCTCCGGTAAGAATACAAATCACTCAGAAGCTTTCTGGTGTTTCTGTTCCATCCCGTTCCTCTGTGTGTACAGAGATCCCTCATCTGTGGTCTTTATGCCATTTGAACGATGCTCTTCAATGCCCTTGCCCTACTATAACAGAACCTCTGAGGTGGGCCACAACCCACTGAACATTTCCTAAATTATGGAGCTGCACACTCTGATTCGCCACTAAGGGTGCAGTTGACAGAAGGGTAGCCAGGCTTCTTTGCGCTGGGGTAGGTGGTAACACCTCTTTGCCTGAGTGAGAAATTACATGTGTGACTCCCCACTTCCTCTCTCCAGCCCTTAATATGCCCCTCAACGACTCTCCAGAGAGTTGCAGGGAGCTACGCAAGAAATCTGCATCAGGTCTGCAGTGGCGAATTGCCCAAAACGGAGTGGAAGGGTCCTGCACGTCTTGAAACAGCCCAGTACACCATCAGAGCCGATCACAATCCCCAAAGATATGTTCAGAGATTTGGCTTCCTTGTCTAGATTTTCAGTATCTTGCCAGGTAGCACTGTCTGACTGCACTAGCCTTGAACCCTTGATTGTGTTGGGACAAACGTCCTTGATCAGGCACCCTTCAGATGTTCTTCCCCAGTAAACATGGCAAATGTCAGTACTTTCCGCGAAAGTTGCAGACCAACACATTTGAAGGACATGAGGTTAGAAGCTTGTACATGGCCATCAATCACACCCTGCAGGTTGCTGGTTCTCAATCAGCAGATACAATATGGTCATTAAGTAGCACTCGAAACCCACTGCATTTAGTCTGATTTCAGAAGCTAGGCAGGTTCTGGTCTGCTCAGTGCTTTGAAGGGAACCCCAGGGATTTCCAGTTAGTTTTAGGAAGCAAACCAGCCTCAGATCTTGGACAGCTGCTGCCAGTTGGAGTTGGAAATACTGAGTTAGATGGTCCAGTGACCTGGGTCAGCATAAGGCAGCTTCCTATGCTTTCCTCTTATACTAGTACTTGTATATTTGTTTATTTTCCCATTACCTGCTTTTCTGCTAAATTGTGAAGGCAATCTACAGTATGCCTGTAGACCAGTTGGACCTGAATCCAGGTACCTTGAATACTGACCCATTACTGTTTATTCTGGCCGCATCTCTCCCCGTGATCCAAAGATGGGACTTTTCAGCTCAGTTTCCTGAGGTCATTTGAAAAGGAAAATGAACTCGGGACTTAATGCACGCCTCGGTTGGGTGCGAAAACGCTGCGCGCGGCCATTTTAGGACATTTCCGGGCTTCCGGCGGCCATTTTGGCCGCCGAACAGCTGATTGTCATCTTCGTTTTGTGAAGATCGGTAAGCGAAACGCTTACCGATCTTCGCAAAGCAAATTGAGCCCCATTCAAAAGACGTTAAGCGATCGCATTAGCGATCCGAAAAAACGGATCGCTATGCGATTTCGTCGTTATGTGGTGCACTCGTTAAGCGAGGCACCACTGTATTTGTTTATTTTCCCACTGCCTTCTTTTCTGCTAAATTGTGAAGGCAATCTACAGTATGCCTGTAGACCAGTTGGACCTGAATCCAGGTACCTTGAATACTGACCCATTACTGTTTATTCTGGCCGCATCTCTCCCCGTGATCCAAAGATGGGACTTTTCAGCTCAGTTTCCTGAGGTCATTTGAAAAGGAAAATGAACTCGGGACTTAATGCATGACAGAGCTCTTAGCTGTGGCCTTGCTCTCTCACCTATATAATTGGACTGGAGTGATAAGGGAGCCCACCCCTTTTTCTCATGAACCCACATTTACAATCTCAAAAACTCACTTTGAGACATTAGTAAGAAAAATTGTAAAAAGGTTTCATTACTTACAGTTCAACTGATCAAACTGCAAACTGACAAACATGACTGCTTTCAACAACAAACTTCAACAGACTCATTGCTTCCAATAGACTCAAGGGAGGGGGAAAGGCACAGAGCAGAGATGTGGCATTCTCTTAATTCAGAGGCAGAGAAGTAAATAAGTCTGCTGGCAAGACTGACAGTCATCCCAGCCTAAAGGTTCCTGCCAGCCAAAACTGCTAAAGGCAGCATGTGAGATTGCAAAAACTCCAACACATGGGAGGTCTTTAGACTGGGTGGCAATCTGCCCCATTTTCTGGCCACCAAATCAGTTTTGTGATTCCTGCAGGTCTCTTTACGACCAGAGCTTCCTGCTTCCCATCCCATCTCAGGCAATGCCACAACTGGCTCAGAGACAAAGGCGCCTCTCGGAGCAGAGCAGAAACGAAGTGACCAAGCAGGTAAAAAGGAATCCTCGTGACTTGCACTTTCAGAAGGAGGTTGGGAGAGAGAGGTCAACCTTTCGTTGGTTGTGTTGCAAGGCTGCTGGCGAATAAAAATTAGAGAAATGGGATTGAGCACTGCAGGGCGCTTAAGCATTGTGGTGTCCCCAAGAGTGGTGTGATGGCTAAAGTGTTGAACTGGGATGTGGGAGAACTGAGTTCGAGTCTCGACAGAATCATGGAAATGCACGAGATACCTTGGGCTGGTCTCTCATCCCAAACCTACCATGCAGGGTTGTTGCTGTGAGGATAAAGGGAAGAGGAAGAGAACCAGATGCCCCCTCCTTTGCCCTCACTGGCGGATGATGAAGTGTCTGGATAGCTCAGTGGCTTAGGCTTCTGGCTGTGGACCCAGAGGCTGGGAGTTCAAAACTCCACAGTGCCTCCTTGACAAGGGCTGGAATTGACAATCCATCTGGTCCCTTCATTCCAAGATGATGATGATGATGATTATCTTCTGCATAATTGCATAACTGAGGTTTTAACTAAGGATGCCAGGGATTTAACTCAGGATTTCTGAATGCAAACTGCATGCTTTGTCACTGATTTAAGGAACACACCATGGAGAACAGCATAATGTGAGTCCTTCAGCTAGAAAAGTCACAAACGTCCCATTTCTAAATCCCTTTTTGTCATATAAGGACCTTCAGCCAGAAAAGTCACAAACTTTTTTCTAAATCCCTTTTTGTCATATAAGGACTAGAAGCTTCATCTCCCCGCCCACTTTGAATGTGTTAGCAAAATGGCTAAAGTTCCTTCATTTGAATTGGAAGATGGAGGAGGTTTTCATCATCTGCAAAAGCCATTTCCAGAGACCTGTTCTACTGGTTCAGCTGGGAAACAGAGCTGGCTTAAGTGAGCTGGTAGTTATATGTGCTGGAACATTTTGGAAACACCTGGTCGGGACCAGAAAATCAGGATTTTGGATTAGTGGGAAGATTTAAAAAAAAAAAAGCTACAATTGTGTTGATTTGTGCATATAAGAAGATTTAATCCAGGTGAAGTATCTCTCCAATGATTGTACTGTATTCTGGGTGTGAGGGAAAGAACACACACAAAGGTTTTATTTGGTCATCTTTTGAATATTGACTCAAAGCTCGGAAAAGAACCTTGTATTTCCTGGTGTTCTTTGGCCCATTAAGCGCCATCTGACACCCGATGGTGCTATATGTGGAGAGGGCTGGCCGGAGTGTACAAAGTCCACATTCATCCTTGTATTTGCTCTGTGGTCTCGGTCATGTTGTGGCTGCCGGTCTCTGTAATGGGCAGCTTCTAATACTTCCTTTCTGGAACTCCTGTACTGGTGGAAACAGTCCCAGGCATTACAGCAGGCTGGATTATGGTATTCTTTTTTTTTTAAATTTGTCATATGCCTTTGCAGAACTACATAAACACTACTAGGATACAAAACCATCATACTAATATATACATATATATAATACTATACTCCAATCATTGGAGAGATCCTTCTGCCTGGATTAAATCTTCTTATATGCATCGTACTTATATGCATATACATACTTCTTATATGCATCATACTTATATATAGGTATATAAGTATATATAAGTATATATATGATGCATATAAGTATATATATAAGTATGATGCATATATATAAAGTTTTATCTGTCTGTCTATCTATGTATCTATCTATATTTGTATATATATTTGTATATGTATCTGTACACACATATATATACATGTATGTACACACACATTCCCCAATACTACTACTACTACTTTTATTATTATTATTATTATTCAAAAACACCAGGCACAGTCAAAATTATAAAAAGATTGACTAGTATTATATAACAGATTTATTATTATTATTATTATTATTAGTAGTAGTAGTAGTAGTAGTAGTAGTAGTAGTAGTAGTAGTAGTAGTAAGTCTGTAAAGAATTACAATTTTGAAACCATATTCTATATTTAGGAACTGTTAGGACTTATACATACTGTGTTATTTTATTTGGACAACTTGTTAAAAACCTGTCACACCCATTTTTCAGTGGCAGATACATCATTTTGGTATGTCAGGTTAGGCTCCTCCCTCCCTGGAGCTGAGGAGTTCCAAGATTTATACCATTCCTTTTGCCAGCTCTGCAATCACAGTGAACCTGGAAAAGCTGCTGTTTTGGAGGATGATTTGTGGAATCTCCCACCTAGCATCTCTAGAGGCTGTGCTAGCTGAGGGGTTCTGAAATCTGCAGGCCCAAATAATAACTGTCTAAGCTCTGCTCTCACCTAAGGTCTCTCTTTAGCTTTGCTTCTGCCTTCCATCTTGGTTTTCGGCAGCATGCTATCTGTGTCAGCCCCAGCCACAGCTGATCACTCTCACCTGAGCTAAAAGGACAGACAGCCCTTAATCTGCAGACCTGCTATGCGTCTGCTTTAGCTTGGCAGCTAGGCTTGCTCTGGATGACGAGGAGGAATTAGCTCTGCTATTTTGCTTTGCAGTAAAACTCGACTCTAGATGGGAATCTCTCCCAGTCATCATATTAGTCTCTGTCTAGTAGATCTGGGACCTTGAGTTCTGCTAGAACAGTGGTTCCCAACCTTGAGTCCTTAGATGTTTTTGGTTTCCAACTCCCAAAAATCCTGGCCAGCACAGCTAGCGGTGAAGGCTTCCAGGAGTTTTAGTCCAAGAATATGTGGGGACCCAAGATAGGGAACCTGTGTGCTAGACACACCACCTTGTTCTGAAGCCATTTAAAAAAAAAAAATGGTAAATTTCCTCAATATACAGTCGAAGAGGAATTAGCTCTGCAATTTTGCTTTGCAGTAAAACTAGACTCTAGATGGGAATCCCTCCCATTCGTCATATTAGTCTCTGTCTAGTAGATCTGGGACCTTGAGTTCTGCTAGAACAGTGGTTCCCAACCTTGAGTCCTTAGATGTTTTTGGTTTCCAACTCCCAAAAATCCTGGCCAGCACAGCTAGCGGTGAAGGCTTCCAGGAGTTTTAGTCCAAGAATATGTGGGGACCAGAACCTGTGTGCTAGACACATCACCTTGTTCTGAAGCCATTTTTTAAAAAATGGTAAATTTCCTCAATATACAGTTTCTGGTGGTTCCTATATTTATAAGACTTCTTTTGTCAAAGGTATTGTCAACAGACCAATGTGGATCAAGAAACTTGACCATCTCATCACACAGACCGGAAACCCACAGACTAGAGACACCTGCAGGTCATGGGCCCCAAAAGAGTCATGCAAATTTGTTGTTAGAGGCTATTTCTGCTCAGTGCTGCCATAATTCGGGCAAATTTCTAAACAGGGTTTCTATTTGCCAGTGTGTTTCATTGGATATGACCCATCAATAACTACACACATCAATAACTACTTGGTTCTCAAAGACAGTTGCTCCGTTGCTGACCAATGGGTCTCCTGCTTCTAATCTATCACTTGATATTGTATCTTTAGATGATGGAGATTCTGAGTCAACGAAGGAAGAATCGGAGTCCGACACTTCAGGGAGTGAGGTCTGTTTCCTCTTCTGTGTTGTATTTCAACCTACGCACGGACCCCTTGCTTACATTTTATTTGCCAGGCAGCAACGAAATTCCGAAACTTCCAGATCCTGATACCTAGTGGGTAGGGCATGAAGAGACAGTCCTGGAAAGGAAAGCATTATCTGGCTGGACCTGATTTGGCCAACCTGGAGTATAGAACCAGGGCACTGTTTTCACCAAAGGTGATAAAATGGTAGATCCTAAACATCGCTGAACAAAAATTGGAAAAGTGAATTTTATATATCTTTGCATTCCCAGCTATCACATCCCACTCCTCCTGCTCGCTTGTTCACTCGTTCATTCATTCATTTATTTGAACCATTTGTTCGATGTGTTCCTGTCAAAAATTAGTGTCAGTCTTCAGTATTCTTTTTTTTCCCCAGCAGGACTTATATAAGCCACAGCCCTGCAAGGAAATGTGTATTTCTCATTTTTGAGATGATCTCTCTCTAAATCAGGAGTGAGCAACCTCTGCTCCATGGGTGGACACACAGGCCCACCCATTATTTTTCCAAGCTGGAACCTCATATGCCTCAGATCCCTGCCTGAGCCAGTTCTCTCTCATTTGCATAGATGATGGGTGCCTATGAGGACGAAAGCCATCCGGGGGCTTCAATGGCAGACAAATACTGCTGCCAAAGGGCGGCCATCCAGCGATCACAAAGGAAGCGGAGAAGAGGATCAGATTCATGGACAGAAGGTATGAGCATATGGTTCATAACATCAGATTCTGAAAACAGAAACCCTCGTGGTTGAAATGCCATAGGGAATGTAACACTTCTTGGCTTAATCTGAAATGCATGTAAGCCCTGGTGAACCAATACAAAATAACAATATTTATATAATATTACATTTTTAAAAAAGAAAATATTTAATATATCTATGTTAGACTCTCTCTTTTTTAAAAAACTCTTCTGGGATATTATTAGTCCTTCTTTTGTCCTAAAAAACATGGACGGATTTCTGCTTTGTTGATTCATTTGAAAAAGTGACAAGATGAAGCCCTTTTTTTCCCATGCACAGCTCCGATGTACTCACTTCAGTTAACTCACACTATGTAAATGTTTGTCCAGTATGATGCAGTTTGGCCACGATTAGACTCCTACTCGGAACTCCTCCATCTTGGATTTAGATCACCCTTCTGCAAATGGTTAGCCAGAGTCACGCTAGGGAAGGGAATGGCCTTCAGAAGACTGAAGGTGAATTGGTGTAATAGGTACACAGCACAGTGTTTGCTTAGCCTGCCATGTCACTTGACAGAGCAGACCAAATATTCTCTGCTATTGACTTACACCAAAAGCTTTTTCACACAAACTATGTTTATTTTTTAAGCCAGGCCCTGTAAAGGTGGCCGTCTACTAACAATGGAATGTGTTTGTCCTGGTATTTCCTACAGGTGTGACTAAGCAGGAAATCGATAAGGTTGGGCATAAAAAGTACCCCAGCGAGTTAATAGTTTAAACACTTCTCTGACCCTGGAAGCACTTGGCCCAGGTTTGTTACTGCAGTCAGAAAGACGAGGGGCCAGAGTTGATCAACTGAATGAGGGTGTACGTATATGAGCCAGGAAGAGAAAGGAAGTACTTAAGCAGAAGACTTTTGCCATGAGCTTCTAAACCCCCCACCCCAACTTCAAGGCTAGGGGATTCTGGAAGTTGTAGTCCAAAACAGAAATGTTTCCGGACTCTGCCTTTCCCTAAGCTTGTTAATGAATGCACACGCAGAATTCAAAAAGGTCTTTTTAAAAATCTAATGATGTGTGTTCCCCCTTCCTTACAACACTGGCTTTAAATAGTGTTTTCCAGCTGACTCCCCAATAGAAGACAGCATATTGGCAAGTATTTGCACAGATTTACTCTTATTTTTATCCTTATTCTTGTTAAATAAGAAGTTGACGTTGACTCTTGGTCCAGCACATCCAAAGTACATTCTTCAGTTCAACACTCAACAACTACCTCTCATCTTAACGGGTGAATTGAGGTCCACAACCACATGGTACCGTCACCCTTGAGGTGTCAGTCTTAGGGTGGAAAATCATTATTTTGCAAGGTGAGCAAAAAAAGGATGTGAAGAGTTCCATCATGCAAGATAGCACCATTGTTCTATGTTGGCCAGAATCTTATTGATATTCACATAAGGTCTGGATAACATCCTGTGGCTAATTGATGAGGTATCAGGAGACAGATGCACTCCAGCACTTCATCCATTAGCTGAATTAGCTGCAGCCAATTATGCTGATCTTGCACGAACACCAATAGGATTCAAGTCCTTGCCTTTAAAAAAAAGAGGCACATAAATAAACCCCACGATATTCACCTGTGCTTTGTAATGCAGTGAAAGCAGAATCACCTGAGATCTGATCAAGGAGATTAGGAAAAGCAAAAGAAGGCAACTTTATTTGAAGACGTTCCGTATTGGGCGGGGGGGTCTTGGAAACAGGACAGGAAAATTCTCTGGTGGGTCTAACTTTCTGGCTGCACCACTGCTTCGAGGGGGGGGCTTTCTCAATTCATCAAGCAAAGCCTTGTGGCCTCATTCTTCACTTCCAGCCCTATCCATGAACAAAGGCGGGGTATAAGGTTTCCAGGCTTGGAATGCCAACATCACCCCCCAAGGATCTTCTGTCTAATTCCTTGTTGTTCTCCTTGTTGCAGCGGACTCCAAATCAGCGAGAAGTGGACAAAATGGCAAAGCAACCCAGGACCCGGCTGATCTACAAGATTCTGCGAAGGACATGACCAGCCACAGCCCTGCTTTCAGGCACAGTGACAATGAGGAAACATAGCCTGTGTTGGCTTTCCAGGATAAGATCCGATGCTAGAGCTGGAGTCTCTAAATGACTGTACTTCTTCTCACTGGCATTAACCCAGATGGACAGCCTGCGTCTGCGCATAGAACTCTCAGGCACCATTGGCTTCACTCCTTGATCCACAAATGAATTCATGAGGACTAGTCATTCAATAGAAAGCCAGTACAATGCAGAGGATAAAATGAACAATTAGGACACAGGAGACCTGGTTTCAGATTCCTGCTCAGCCATGGAAAGTCACGGGGGGTGAGGAGTGGAACTGGTAAAACCATTCCTCAAATATTACGTTGTTGTTAAGTCAGATGTGACTTGATGATTCATAACAGCAGTAACTCCCTCGTTCTCTTTAAGGAACCCTTGGAAACATTTTTTTCCCCAAAAAGTTTGGCAGTAAGAGTAGCCAACCCTGTTTCCCTGAAAATAAGACCCAACCTGAAAATAAGCCCTAGTAGGATTTTTCAGGATGCTCGTCATATAAGCCCTACCCCCAAAATAAGTCCCGGTTAAGGGAAACCCTGCCCTCCACTATTGTGCAGCAACCAGAAGAAGAGGGCGTGACTGTCTTTGAATAAACCTAGATTGTTGTACATGAACTTTGAATAAACCTACATTGTTGTAAATGGAAAAAAAAATCCCCTAAGCCCTAATGCATTATTTGAAGCAAAAATTAATATAAGACCCTGTCTTATTTTTAGGGAAACACGGTAGTTTGCTGGCTTGTTCCACTTTGTCCAGCAACAGATTATCCCAGTTCTATGGCATTTTAATAACAATTATTGCCAGTATTCTATCATGGATGGACAAGTCAATAGAAAGAACCAATGGCGCAACATCTTCAGAACCTCAGCATGACCTAGGTGGAGGAGGATGTTGTCAATGCTTTCCAGTTGTGATGTTGTGTATTAACTCTGATGTAGGAGACATTTTGCCTCTGAACACCAGCTGCTGCTGGGAGACAGGACTAAGGAGGATGATTTGCACTCCTATCCTCTTCCGTAGCTTCCTCAAAGCCACTGATGGGGCACAAAGAGAACAGAATCTTAAGCTAGATGGGGTTTTTGGTATGATCAATCAGGGTTGAGCGTATGTGTTTAAAAAAGTTGTAGAGCATGTTTATCCTGCAGAAGGATCGAGGTTCAGTCACTGGCACCACCGCAGGGGTCAGGTGGCCAATTAAAAGCATCCGTATGCTGGATAAGACCCCCGTCTAGGATCTCAAAGAGGTATTGCTAGTCAGAGCATCCCTGTATTCCGGGGGGCAGGAAAAGTGCAGGCCTCTAGTTATTGTCAGACTACAACTCCCATCAGCCTTAGCCAGCAAAACAGCTGAATTACAAGAAATGCTAGAAATTGTATTAGGGACACCTTTTTGCCCACCTCAGAGTTCCCAGCAATGGACTGTTCTGGCCGACTCTTTTAAAAGAGACCTGGCCTGTGGGATTGAGCTGCATCCGTCACAGAGCCAGCGACACTCAAGAAGGAAGCGCATCATAGGAAGCTGCCTTAAACTAGGTCTACGTGCCCATTATTGTCCACCCGGGAAGTACAAGATATGCGCGCGCACACATACACCAAAAATGTCAGACTGTAACTGTCATCTTTCCTCACCACGGCTATGTTGGTTAAAGTTGACAGGAGTTCTAGTCTTAACAACTGGCTACCTCCCATATCTGACCCCCAAACCCACCCACCCCCAATCTTGCAGTAACTGTGGGAATGTCCATATGGATTAAAAAGAAAATATGTGTTTTTCATAGGCTAAATGCTGTGATGCAAAGAATAACTAAGTATGGCCAAGGGCCCAGTTTCATCTGTAATGGTGACAGAAAGTGTCCGTCTGTCAGAGCCACAGCTCTCAAACGATTAAAAGTAGGCCTCGGAAACTTGGCATGTATACTGAGGTGACCCTAGGGCATTCGTTTCTAAAACATACTAATAATTGTGTTTTGTCTATATGTTTGAAACCTGCTGTCCCTTCAATCACAAGATGATAGACGTTTACAACCAGCCCTTCTGTTTGCAGTCAGTACTGCTTCAATTTGAAGTGGAAGCCTGGTCCCAAAAACAATATTTTGGCTCTTCCACCTCCCCTGTTTATGGGATAGGCTCTTCTTTTCATCATCATGGGGGGGCACACTTAGGATTCACTTAGCAGCCACGATGCTCTCAAACAGGGTTAGCGCCAATGTGTCCAGTCCTCAGAGTTACGTAACGTCGCTTGAAGGTGTTCGTCGTCAAACTAATGACTATTCCAATTGGCGCGAAAACTGGCTGCTTTCACCAATTGTACATAAATGTTACATTGATTAAATTTCTGCATGGATGTCCTTGAAGCACGGTTGTTTTTTGATCTATTTGTTACGAATGCATTCCCAGGAAAGAAAGTACATAGGCCTTCCATGCAAAAGTCTTGCTTTTAGATACATTGTTCATACAAATCGATGACATACGCAGGTTTGTCAATCAAGGTCCTTTTTTTAAAAATTACAGTATGACCCCCATATCTGCAGGATCAGTATTCATGGTTTCACATATCCACGGTCTGAAAATATTAAAAATATTAAAAGAAAAAAAACTAGAAATATATATTGTCATGATGTATTTACCAGAACCAGTCATTAGAGGGAGCCAGAGCCAGGCTATGTACAGTACTGTATTCTTGTTGTTGAAGAATACATGGTATCTGGCTCTCTCTAATGGTCAGATTTGGTGATACATGGTGAAAATATGTACAGTATTTCAGGGTTTTTTTTTTCTTTTACCATGCCATGTATAGCATTTGCTATTATCTGCAGGTTTTAGCATACGTAGAGGGGTTTGGAACCAATCCCCCATGAATACAAGTGCCCTACTGAATACTGTAAGCCTCCTTGGGTCCCAATCAAATAATTAAATTAATTAAATGCAAACCAGAGCTTGGGGGGGTTGTATTCCCAAAGGTACCCATTTCCCCATTTAACCAGACTTAGAGGTGAAGTTCCCAGAAATGTATGTGAAGACCTGGCACACATTTTGTTTTCTGCTGAACCCAGAGGTCCAACTTAGGAAAGGAGATTCTGATTACAGAACAGGACAAAGTTACCAAGAGCTGTGGGCTCTTTGGTGGAGGTTTTCAGAAGGGCAGCCGTTGATCAGGAGTGCCCTAGCTAGGGGTCCTTTTTGAATGGGTCAGAATAGATGGCCCTTGAAGTCCCCTCCATGTCTCAGACATTATGATTCTGCATTCTGAATAATGTGGCCTATGCAATACTTCCTAGCAGGGACAAAGACAGAAGAGAAGCAAATGAGGTGGCATACAAGGAAATAAATGTTGTTTGTCAAACACTACTCTTGTTGCTGGGCTACTCGGTGACTCCCGGAATAGCCTTCATGGGGCTGTTTGTTCACTGCTGTTCCTCAACCACGCCTCCTGTGTTATTGGCGCATCTCAGCCGGTTGTCCTTCAGCATTAAGGCTGCAATCAGACAGCAAGAACGATGCATGTCTGATGGCGCCATAAAGGGTCGCCTTGCTGGGAGCAAGCTCCTAAGAGCAACCCTTCTGTCCCTTAGGGAGTCAACTGCACCCCAGTCCCACAAAGTAGTAGCCCTACTACTGGACCGAAAAGCTTCGGCTTGGGCACGGATTGAGGCCATGCTGGAGCCTGATAGCCCACCCATTGTGTGATGGGCAGGAAACGGATGGCACCAGAAGAGGTCCAAAACGTGAGCTCATGCGACCACACTCTCTGGATTTTCTTTCCCAATCGATATAGTTTGCCTCGCTAGATGATGATAATCTGTTCCACTGAAATCACTGTTTAGCGAAATCATTGTCTAGTGAAAAGCATTTCCCCATTGGAATGCATTGAAACCTGTTTAATGCATTCCAGTGGGGAAGAATAGTCATTTTCTAGCGAAGATCGGCCATAGGAAAGCCACTTTGTGAACCACGGATCAGCTGTTTAAATCGCTAACTTGCGAAGCTTAGGTCCCAAAAACACCTGTTTGTGAGTGCGGAGGGAGCTGTCAAAATTGTCATCTAGCGAAAATCAGTTTGCGAAGCAGGGACCAAACATTGTCCAGCAAAATGCCCCCACAAGAATCATTGTTTTGCAAATCACTATAGCAATTGCAAAAAGTCAAGGTCTAGCGAAAAAACTGTCATGCGGGGTAACTGTTTAGTGAGGCACCACTGTATTGACCATGGGGGCGGGGGGGGAGGTCTGCTGTCTCCACAACCTCCCTCCAAAAGGACAGCCATGTTTGGGTTGCCACTGTCCCTCGTGGCTTGTTTCTTGCTGCCTGAGGCCAAAGACTAAAGGCCCCATCACACATCCACGTGCAGAAGCTGACCGTACAAAAAGCTTCTGCATATAAAAGCTGGCAATTGTCTCTTATTTCAACCCTGACCCTAGGAGAGGGCCCTGCCCATCACAGAGGGCAGCAAGCTGGCTTAGAGAGGGTGGGGGACAGACTGTCTGAAAATGTCTGCCCTCTGCAATAGGTCCCTCATTCTGCCTGGTAATATGGCTATCCCTGAAGCTGTGTGCGGGTCGTGACTCGTGCACTCTCCCCAGAGCTTGGAAATTCCTGCTTGGATGGCTGGGGATTCCAAGAGTGGTCATGTAATAATAAAGGAATAATCTATCTTGTTTAGTGCCTGTTGGTATGTTTCAGCCCATGACTAACAGCCAGAGGACCCACCAACATCACACAGCCCACGCAAAGCCCACATGACATGATCTTGAAATATGTGCTAATAACAGTGGAGCAAAATCCGCTGATCATCCTTAGCCCACCTTGGGCAGCAAAGAGAAGCACCTTTCCGTCTTCTGGTCTGGAGCTGCCACCTAGTGGACGCGGGAGGGCACTTCTAGACTTCCTTTGCTTCTCTGGGTTGAGAAACAGATCTTCCCCCTGTTTGAAGACACTCAGAGGTGCCATATTTGCCAAATTGGGTCGCTGAATTCAATTACAATCTACGAGCAAAGTCCAGGAGCTCTGGATTAGGTGGCCTGGTTTTCCACAGTGCCCAAATTTAGCGCTGCCTAGCAAAGGACTGCATATTTTTGTCATCTTCTTCAATAATAATCAGCTGGCATCAAGTCAAATCTGGTTTATGGTGACCCTATTCAGGGTTTTCCAGGTAGAGAATACTCAGAAGTGGTTGATCATTCCCTTCTTCCGGGAGCACCCTCGGACTGTGCAGCTTGCCCAAGGCCACCCAGGCTGGCTCTCCTTGGGTCCCAA